TTTTGGCTACCCATTTTTCCTGCTTCGTATGTGTCCTGTGCTGGCTGAAGTGTATTGTTTAAAATATAACGTATAGCTTTACATATGACTCTGTGCTTTTTGTCAGCTTTGTAGTTTACATTTTGATGCTTTTGTCATACGTTTATTTTCTGCAAATGTGCTGTACGTGCTTTATATGCTTCATATTTTTACTGTTTAACGTTTCAATATGTTTGTGTATTTTGTATTTTTGTGTTTTTTTGTGTTTTTTTTGTTATGTATTTTTGTTCTTTACATGACTTTGTGTTTGTCGAAATACAAGCTCTTCGTAGCTTATGTTGTATGTTTATGATATTCGACGTAAAATAAAGCTTCTGTAACACAAGCCCTGGTTTGATGAACAGTTACACGCCCTCCGGGGACGTTACCTATAGGCCTTGTACATTTTTAATAGAGACAAATGTTTTACAAATCACGAATTATTGGTGAGAAAGAAGCGAGAGTATAAATGCGCGGAGGCGAAATGTAAGAGACAATATATGAAGCTCGAAGGGGATATGATGGAACATTTACGGAAAACAAATCCGAGATATTTTTATAAAAAGTAAAAAACATGTGACTCCACCAGTGACGATGGAAGATTTTTTCAATCATTTCAAGGATGTGGCCACTAAGCCAGAATTGGCTGGTAATAACCCACAGGATACTTTAAATGAAGACATTGATGACTCTTCGCCTGTTTTCGACGAACTAGACTGCGTTATAACTACAGAGGAGATCCGAAGTGCTATTAAACGCTTAAAAAGAGAAAAGGCCCATGGTTTAGACGGTCTATTGAATGAATATTTCATCGAAGCTAGTGACTTTCTATTACCCGCTTTGAAGACTATTTTTAACAATATATTTAATTCCGGATGTTTCCCTGAAGACTGGTCGACCGCGATGATTGTACCTGTGTTTAAAAAAAGGGGATAAGCGAAACCCGAACAATAATCGAGGAATCAGCCTGTTAAGTAGTATGGCCAAATTGTTTACTATTGACTATACGACTGATAGACTTGGTCAGAGGCGAACGATATAATTACCGATGCCCAGTTTGGTTTTCGCCCAGGAACTAGTACAGCTGATGCAATTTTTGCGCTTCATACTATCATTACAAAATCCTTAAATGTTAGTAAACGTTTATATTGTGGTTTTGTTGATTATCAGAAGGCGTTCGACTCTGTCGACCGCTGCAAACTATGGTATAAATTGTCTAAGGTTGGTGTTCGAGGGAAATTGTTAATTATTATTAAAGCTATGTATAAACATGTTAAATCATGTGTAATTACAAATGGCAAATGTTTTGATTTCTTTGTAAATAATATGGGCCTCGCGCAGGGAGAAATTATTTCCCCCATTATGTTTTCAATGTATGTGAATGATTTTGAAAATGACTTTGTATTAAATGGAATCAAAGAGTATGAGTTTGGAGAGCTTAGACTCTTCCTATTAATGTATGCCGATGATTTAGTACTAATCGCTGAATCAGTTCAAGATTTACAATGTATGTTAAATAATTTGTATGTTTATGCAAAGACGTGGAAATTAACTGTAAACACGGCCAAGACAAAAATTGTTGTTTTTAGAAATGGTGGCCGGTTATGAAATGATGAGGTGTGGTCTTACGATGGAAAACCATTAGATGTTGTTGAACAGTTACCATATTTGGGAGTTGCTTTTAAATTTAACAATAAGCTTAATGCTGTACAACAGCAACTCCCTGAGCAAGGGCGAAAGGCTATATTTGCATTGTATGCTAAATGTAAAAATATGAATCTAAACTGTCATACGTTGGTAAAGTTATTTGATACATACGTGAATAGTATACTGTGCTATGCATCTGAAGTTTGGGGTGCATGCAAAGGCAATGATGTCGAGAATGTCGATTTAGAATTCTGTAAAAAGATTTTATGTGTTAAAAAGTCCACTTGTAATGTTATGATTTATTTTGAACTGGGTCGATTCCCTATTATATATACCCGGCTTTATAATATGATAAAATATTGGTTCAAGTTATTGAATGCCAAGAACTGTATCTTGAAAACTGCCTATGATGAATTATTGAAAATGCCCAAGCGTAATAATGTTTTTAATTGGTTGTCCTTTGTGAAGGATAAACTCAGGTTTGGTGATGTGTGGTTAAATCAAAATTCTCATAATATATCTGAGGTTTTACCACTTATTAAACAACGAATTTTTGATCATGCTAGACAAGAACTTTCTGAAATGTTAGAGAATTCACCAAAATGTCACTTGTATAGACATTTAGTAAATACTATATCATTACAACATTATCTATGTAAATATATACCCAAGAAACATAGAATTGCACTTACAAAGATACGTTCGTCTGCACATACATTGCATATTGAAACAGGACGATATAGAAATATTGTAAGGAATGAACGCTATTGTAAAATATGTAATTCTGTAGATATAGAGGACGAATATCATTTTTTGCTTATTTGTCCTATATACAAAGAGCTCAGATCAATGTGTATAAAAATGTATTACTAGAGAAAACCATCTGTTCTTAAGTTAATACAATTACTGAGCTCAACAAATGTAAAAGAAATAACCAGGTTTAGCAAATATATATATGATGCCACAAAATTGAGGAAGACTATGATATAATGACATTTAAATGCGTCAAATCTTTTGTCCATTCTCCACTGCGTTTTGCAGTGCCTGCCAATGTATTTATATTGTTACATGTACACTGATGAGCTGGAAAGCTTAAAGTTAATAAGGAAAAAAAGTGAACCCTTACCTCTGAAATTGTAGTATTTGTATTCTGAAAACGGTTGTTGATCGGCGTGTTTTCAATAATAGCCGCCATTTAGCATTAGATTACCGATCGCGGGTGAGTTCATGAATGCATGTAATTCTCGGTTATTGATCATGAATATTTTGTAATTTGTTTACATAGTTACAATCTGGTATATTATCACACTGACTATCTAGAGAGTGTATTTTACGGCTCTGAATATCGACCAAAATTCATCATGATGCAATGGCGTGTGATTTCACTCACCTCATCGTCTTGCATTTACCCTCCGCTGGAGTTTTGAACTACTTGCTAATAAATAGATAATAGACATACGGACTAAACATAATTGCTATTTGATATGTGTTCGATCGCAACACGTGGTTTTAAGTGAACCCTACCTCTGAAATTGTAGTATTTGTATTCTGAAAACGGTTGTTAATCCGTGTGTTTGTAGCGGAACTAGACTGGGTCGATCGTCGGCGACCAGATAGCTCAATTGGTAGAGCATCCGTCTAGAGTTCGGAGGGTCCCGGGTTCGAACCCGGTCTGGCCGTGCATTTTTCCTCTCCTGTTACATTTGGCGCCCAACGAAATGTACCCACAGGAGGTGGTATAGGATCTCGTGTGTCTTCGGGGTCGAATACTTTGTTAAATGAGGGAGGAATGTAGCGGAACTGGACTGGGTCGATCGTCGGCGATCAGATAGCTCAATTGATAGAGCATCCGTCTATAGTTCGGAGGGTCCCGGGTTCGAACCCCGGTCTGGCCGTGCATTTTTCCTCTCCTGTTACATGTTTTTAATAATGACCGCCGTTTAGCCTTAGGTAACTGATCGCGGGTGGGTTCATGAATGCATGTAATTCTCGGTAATTGATCTATCTATCGAGAGACGTATAATACGTATTATACGTCTCTGATCTATCTAAGTCCGTGTTACAACGAACAGAATTTTTCGTTGTGATATTCTGATATGAAATCTCAAATATTCTTTTCGAAGTTGCCCCTTCATTAGCTTAGTTTCTATATCAATTATCTGTTATTGAAAATATCCTGTTTTATAACTGTCTTTCGGATTTACCTGAAAAAAACTTGCTAACTTCCATAGACGGATACTTTCTTTCAAGTTTTCTCAATATCTGAATGATCGTTCTGAAGCGGTCATTTGAGGCAACAGTTGACGGGTGTCAGACGATGGCTGCTTTGCCAGGGCGTTAGCTTATTTGACCATTTAGCCCTGTTACAAGTTAAAGATAATGTATGATTGCATTTAAATGGCAGTTACAATAACACATTCAAAGTTTGTCTTAAGCCAAGCACGTTTAAGAAGGATGGTAATGCAAGGATGCTCGTTTTCGGTAACCAAGGAAACCAAGCCAGACAAACGTGATTCTATTGTCTGGTTATGCGCACAATCGGAATCAATTCAGTGTCATCTTGCATATTCACTGGTTCCTTTTTCTGCTCTTGTCCTGCATTATGTTTTCGGTGCCAGTAGGTTTCGTTCTTGTTGGTGTTTCCCCTTGTTCTCTTGACATCGCTCCTAATTTATTTGTTACATGAACAGGTCTCTAGGTTTCCTCGATTACTGTCAGTTTCTTTCCCTTTTTGATTCGTTGTCTGTAGAAATCCTCTTCTGTTCTTGTATTCTAGTTACATGCATCTCCTTCTGTTTAATTCTACTTTTGCCCATCCTCGATGTTCAGGGGTTACGCTCACTTTCGCTCTCTACACCCCTGAATGTGCTGGCGAAATTGAAGGCTTGGTATGCGCTACCTTGTTGATGAGACCTGACTAGTTCGTTCCAAAAGAATCTCGAGGTCACGTAGCGGTAAAAATTGAGACCAATCAAACAGCTATCCTCGTGCCTTCAATTTTGATGACATATTCCAGGGGTGTAGAGAGCGAAAGTGAGCGTAACTCCTGGATATCGAGGATGACTTTTGCCTGAATTATGTTTTCTTATTGTCTCGTTACATGCATAAAACACTTGTGTTCTTCCACTTTATTCTATTGTTTTTATAGTTCCCTTTAAGGCTATTTTCATTTGTCCCAAAGCCTTTTATTCCTTTCAAAGTGCTAGTTTTGAAGAAAAAATGCGATATTTGCCATCATTGAAAGTCGGTTTATTGATTTCGAGCCTTTGCCCATTGCCAGTATTAAAATTGCTCTACTACAGACTGATTTTTAAATGACAAAACAAGACACGAGGTGGCAAGGAATGAGTTTTATTGCTTATGACTGTCTGTGGTATGATTTCTAGTACTACTACAAGCAGAAACTTTCTACCATATGTCAGCATTATCAGGATAGACTTACAACGGGAAAACTCAGGTACTGTGACCAATATTATTACTACTTTACATAAAATACCCTATTATCTCCCCTTGTCATTTTTTTTTTATAAAAAATCGAATGTGAACTCTGGTGAGCACACCTATTACAAACGTCTACACACATTCCTTCATCTGACGGCAATACTGCTGAGTAGAGTAGGGTAATATTGGACTTAATACATAAAGATAAACAAAATGGATAAAATTGTGTCAGTCAAAACAAGGTTTATATTTTTGTAGAATAACTCTCCATAAGATTGCCTTTATAAATAAACTAAATGAAATTAAAATGACTCCAAGAAGGATATGCATCTTATTTCAGACTTGCTCCAATATAAGATCTGTTTAATTTATATCTATACATAACAGGGATAATAATAATTATTATATTTAACCATTATAATAAATACCAAAGTTAATTCAGACAAAATATACTCAAAAAGGATAGTTGACCTTTGACCGAGTATGGTACTCTCTTGATCACATTTCAACGATTCACACTAGCCAACATAACATGTTCACACTCAAATATATACATGTACTCTCAAATATGACACTTCCTATAGACTCTATGGTGAGAGGGAAATCTGTGCTGAATGGGGCTGTACCTAACCCCTGGTTCCATACAGTAGATTACAACAGTATTACACAAGACCAAGACATCAGTAATACACAGGTTTTAATACGGGGTTTGACTAGTGAGAATAGCATGTGATAATATAGAAAATATCAAGAACCCCAATATTGGCTAATATATACCATATACTACACGTTATAATTCTACAATGGTTCCCATAGTTACTTAGGTCATGTTGCACTCAGTGTATCTAGGAGTTTAATTGGTCGACTGCTGAGATTGCCGGCAAGGATAAGAGGGGGATACTGCTCTACATAGAACATAATCACTAATAACAAGTGTGCATTATGGATCTACATTATTGCACTTTGTAACAACCATCTACAGTGTCTATCATCGTACAGTCAATACGTACAGAAAGTCGAAAGGCACACCATTGTTAAGTAACTGCACAACACAGATGCACGACAGGAATCTAGGGCCATATACCTGAGCAGCATATGATGGATGTGAGAAAGTTGTCTCCCTTTTCCCCCATGCCAACAGTAACCAAGGAACCAGTGTAATATTAGTGACTAGCAGGTTTACATTGCTTTATGTTTTAACAAGAATGATATACGATATTGTACATACACATACTCTACTTAATCGGTATCTATTGGCTTCTGATATATCGATAGGTACCTATTTACAAACGCACATTAGTGTCATCACGGATGGCAATATTTAATTTGGTCAAGAGTTTCCAAAGCAATCTGTTTTTATTTTATTTTACACAACCACAGAACTACCCCTACAAAACAAACACTACACAAATGTCTGTTCTGACCTCCTCATTCTGATAGTGGCTCAGAATTTCGGTTTTTTCAACATGAACGATTCAGAATTCTTTGGGGAAACACTTCTGTCATAATATTTGATTTCATGCATTAACATATTTTCTGAGATAATTAACAACGTTCTAACAAATCTTCTGTAAGCCCCACATGAAACAAACTCTTCCATGAAATCACACCGGAAGTTGTAAGGTGGATGGGATAGAAGGTCAGAGGTGAATTGTTCAACTTTCGACCTCTGCGACAGCAGCGTCAGCATTTTCCTCCAGTTCATCGTCAGATTTCTTCACATTCTCTTGATTTTCATCCTGCATAAAAATAGTAACAACATTTAATGTGTATGTGTGTGTCGGGGAGAGGGGCGGGGGTAGGTACGTTGGCAGCTTCTGATGGTGTCTTACAATCCCCAACGGTGGGGGAAAGAACTATAATTCCATATACATTTTCTTAACTTGAAAACTTGAAACTAATACGTATACAGTTAATTTTGTCTTAATTCATGCAATTTATGCGGTTATTATCTATATCTAAATAATACTGGCTGTTCATTTTACAAAATCACAATCAGCGTTCCGTCAATTTCAAAACTAACATTTCGATTTACATGAACGCAAACACACGGGATCATATTTTCCTATTGAAAAATACCAAATGCATTGTATACATATGAAACACTCGAAGATTCTATCAATATGAGTATTCTAGACCAGCAAAGACTACACGTATTCACATGGAAAACCAACACAAAAAATAAACAGGTGAAAGTTTGGTAGTATATGTACACTTCGATGGTCGAACAGATCGCGGAGGTTGTAAATTTTCCGAAAAGCAGGGAACTTCGATTTAATTATATCGGACACTTTTTCAGCTTGATAACGGTGAACAACTTGTGGCATTGTACCACAATATCAAAATTAATGTAATATAGTTAATTCAATCTAATTTTTAAACAAAACCTGAAAATTGGTCACTAATAGAATTATCACTAGATATACAAAGTAAGAAATCATTTATATAAAAGGACTCATCATGACCGTATCCATAAATCTATAATGTAAGTAAAAGGCAGTTTTGAGAACAATTTGCAAAATTACCGATCTTATACAATTATCATTTATACGGTTTTTAGCTACAAGAGACATGTTTTGTGATTCTTCTTCTACTAATTCAAATCAAAGCAAAGAATTATAAAAATAAAAAATAGCAAAAAAGATTTACAACATATTCACAGAATATATATTGTCCAATGATATGCTTAAAAGAATAATTCAGGAAAGGGCAGCACACATACCTTTAAGGTATAGCTCAGCAGAGTCAGTCTCACTAACTATTCGTTCTGAAAAGAAACTCCAAAATCAGCATTCAACGGGCATACAAACTCAAGCACAGAACAAATACTATCATCCATTCTCCTAAATCCCAGGTTGAAGTTGATATCGGAATTAAAAATGACGATAAAGATGTTTTTTTAAGTTATGAAGTGGATGGGAAAAGGTTAGAGCTGTAACGGTATATCCCACTACTAGATAGCATCATATTGAAATTAAAAACAATTTTATTTACACATCTTCATGCTTTTAATAACAATAACCGAACCTTCATTAAAATGTACCGTTCAAATTGTTAAACAATTAGTTTCGTTTTTTCATCGTTTTTGTTACAGAAACTCTTGTCATTTACAAATCTTCTTGGCACTATCAAATAATCTTTGATCTCTTTACCGCATATTGCACACAACGGTGTCAAACGGGACATTTACTACTAGTGTTTCTATAGTAAGCAGAGGACAGCGAGTCCTTTTATCGTCTAAAAAGAGTAGGAGGGGTATTTGAATTTCTCAAACAACTATACAGAGTTGGAAGTTTAAAGAATTGACACGGTAGTAAATATGTCAAGCACTGCATTATACATTTTACAAAAATGAAACAGGTTGATATACAGCAAAGACCTGGTTCAATACTAATAATCCTGTAAATAATACATAATAATCCAGCAACACCTGAATTGAGATTTTTTTCAATTTTTAATACGTTTGATATAAAAAATAATTAAAATGATCGTTACATGCATAATTTTGAAAATCATATCCCAATTTTGACAATGTGTCTTACTGACTGATTTAACATAATCTGATTATCTGCATTAAAGAGATTTGTTTTACGTCCTAACCCGTTATCTAAATCAAACTAATAAACCATGCTCTATCATTCTCAGTCAAGTTTTTCTGTAAATTGATGCTTATCTACAGTAAAACATAAGATTATTTTTTATAAAATTATGCATCATACAACACTGTTTGATTTACTATATTTGCTAAGGGGTTGTGTAATCAGCCGAAAACGGTAATAATTTGTTACCAAACCGTCGTCAACTAGATCCTGCATGCAAACTTGCACTAAATACAAGGTACCAAACTTAAATTTCCGGTAACAAACAAAAAATCAATTAAAAACGACCAGAGGATTCAGATATTGTTTGTGACATATTGTAATTTATTGACCTAAATTGACTAAGCCACTTGTTTTTATTTTCAGAAGGAGTACAGAGGGGATGAGGACTTCACAGGAAGAGTAGACAATATGGTTTAAGGATTTTGAATTTAAAATGAAAATGAATAGGACTTCAATGGTAGCGGTTTCAAATAAAAAACAGATGAGGTGTTGTCATTTATTTATCTGTCATCGACAACCACTTCTTAAAACAAAGAACAGGGTAAAAAGAAAAACATTTTGCAATGTGAAAAATCAAAATGAGCGGATCAGAATTTTATAGATATAAAAATTGTCATAATAAGGGTATTTTCTGTTCTAATTTCAATACAGAAAATCAAGATATCTTAAGTAGTGAGAAAACCCCAATTTATAATCTATATCCAATTATTAAGACAATTTGATACATCTATGAGGGAGGGAGGAGGAATCGAAGACACATTTCATCACATAACCAGAATACCGAAGGAAGAAATAAAGGCAATAACGCTCAATGCATGGAAATTATCTTCATTACATAAACAAATATTCCAATTGTAACATGTGTTGGTTATATGATGAACAGAATTCTACACAGAAGTTGTTGTAATATTTAACTTTACGAAACTTGAATGCTGTAATTTATAAAACGAATAACAAACGAGTCAAATCATATTCCAACACCTGTGTAAGATTCTCAATATCTTCAAAAGGGAAGAGAACAAAGTCAGAAACAAAATAATGGGAAAATAGCAAGGGGTGGGGGAATTAAAACGCCGATACAACAAGAGGGTTAAAGCAACAAAAACAGTGACAGTTTTTACGAAAGCAAGGAAATCAGTTTTTAACTTTAAAAATCCATTTCTAAGTTCAACTAAAACAAAAACTTCAGTAATTCCATAGTATTTAAATTAATATATTTGTTCTCTATGTGATATATTTAATTAAAAGCAGCCATATTATATAACTAAAGTATCAAATAAATGAAACCAAATAAACTTTGCTTTAACAGAACAAAATTCGATTTTGAAAAGTCTAAGTTAACAGAAGCAAAACTTAAAATTTACATTGGCTATTTAGTTAATTCCTGTGATGTGTACTGTATAAATATGATTTGAATAACATTCTCATTTGTTTTTTATCAGTATTACTATGTGTGAATGTCAGAAAGGAAAGTACAGCGGCTGTTTTAAACTTTACAATAGGAATGTTTGTGCTGCCGCCGCTGTCTAGGGCACACCTATAATTGTGGGGAAACAACAAAACGTTTCACACGAACATACCCTTACCTTGTGCCTAATTTATTTTTTATTCCGCACTCACTTCCGCTTCAGCCTAAATATGTGGAGGATATATAGCGTATTCATATTTGCATCTGAATATCTTTTCCCAAATACTTTTTGTATTCAATTTATGTTAAAATGAGCACCTTGATTATGACTCTGTAGCTAGAATCTCAATAATCATAAATTCCAAAGATGTCAGTTAAAAGAATTAAGAACATTGGATAAGTTGGTTTTAGTTTTTACAGATTCAACTACAATTTCCGATTATATTGAAGTTATTTTCAGGCAAATACTTACTTCAAAGTCCTCCTAAATAGATTGTTTACTGTTTGTCTTAAAAGTTGTGTTTTCATTTTCTTTGAACACATACTACTTGCATGCGAAATTTGTTTATTACCTAACAGATATGGTGTTTCCAATTAGAAGGTAGACAAAGATAGAGCCAATTCTATTTGGGACTTGACAATGTGTTGAAAAAACAAGCTACCTCAAGGCTTTAAACACATTCAACCCTGTGATACGTGTGAAATTATAAATGATGGAACTTTTTTTTTAATAATTTGATGACTGGTTCAATTATTTCCATTAATAAATACAAGAAATATGCAATCATATTGTGTTATTCTATCTTGCATTGTTTTATTAAAATACTTTCAGCTCATGTTAAAATCACAGTAATGTTTGGAATAATATTAAACGTAGATAATACTCACTTCAGCTTCACCCTAAATAGATGAGGAGTGTATCATGTATTTTTGTAACTCAATCCATGTTAGAATCATGTATCAATATGTATGGACTTTGTGTACATTCAGTATGACTTTCGAAACAGAAATATTTCAAAAATAAACACTGCAACTACACATTGTTAATAAATGTTGGTAAATGCTGCACGGCTATAGACAACTGATTTACAATTCAAAAACGATGTTATTTTGTAAAACACCATCTTATTTGTGTTTACGGGCTATGTTTATCTTATTGCCTCTACCCTATTGAGGAATTTGACTACAGGCTACAGTAACATGACAACAGTTGTAGTACAGATGACTGACAACGTTCATAGTACTGATCACATGACGTTTGAAGTACTGATCACATGACAACTTTTGTAATACTTGATCACATAACAATAGCTGAAACAGCTAAACAGAATACATGTAGGTGACAGAAGTATAAATATACATATATAAAAGCAGAGGTTCCTAGCGTTGATTTTTGAACCTGGATATAAATGCCAATTCCCTCTAAAAGGATCCGGCTGACAGGTTCCCTAATTTGCTTTTATAAACAGGTTATATAAGCAAGCAATATCAAAGATGGCATGTTTCATAATAAATCGGAGTAGCTGAGTGGAATAAAGTGGGGAAAAGCTTCCGAAAGAAGGTTGTTGCCAGCAGAATGTGGTAAAAAAAACACAGAATAAAAATGTTATAACATGATCAGATAACTTATTTAGAATTTATGAATAATATACTAACATTAAGGCTTCTGGTATACGCATGATGTTTTTTTTTTAATGTAAATTAACCAAGATGAAAAATACATCAACTATGAGTGGTAGAAGAGTAAGAATTGGAATCAAAATGTGTGATGTATACTTACTTCACCTTCCCCCTGAAAAATAGTAAGAAAAAATAATAAATTTTATTTAAAATTGTAACAGTCTAAACTGCTTATACCATGTTAAGTAATTAAAATATAAACTATATATACCAGTAAAAATGTATAAATATATTGTAGTATTCATAATTAGTTTGTAACTGTTGGTCCCTTGCCTAAATTTGATGGACTTCACATGGTAATCTACACTAGGACAACAAGGTATAGCTTCCTACAGCTATTCAACAAGTTTGGGAACACTAGAAAGTTCAATAACATTCACATGTATTTCATATTTCACTGTACATTTTCCAGAACAGCAGCCTCGATTTCAACTAATGAAAAAAAGAGTAGGAGATGAAACTTACCCCTTCTTCATCTACTGCGTGCTTGCTTGATGACTTCAGGTTATCACGGAAATCTGATTTTTTGGCTTCTTTTCTTTGAATTTTATCAAGTCTGTAAATCAGAAAGGAAGTCACATTGTAAAAAGCAAATATTGGTAAATGGTAATTGATTGGTGATCCAGTAAAAATTACTCACCCATGAAAATATTTTAATTTCATGAGGAATTTTTGTGTTTTCTTCATTTGTAGTTTGACAACACCATTTTTATGTTTTCCAAAAAAACACATTTTGCTGAAGTTCAGTGCAATATTACAAAAAAAGAAGTAAAACCACTCACTTGCTTTCTGTTTTGTTTACTTTTCTCAATACTGGCTTCACGCTGAAAATATAATGTGAAGCATACATCAGTTTTGTAAAATATTTTTCAAATAAATCAACAACATCCTGGCTATAAATCCCTACAGTAAATACACTACCCTGTTATGTTATGTCCCTTAAAATCACAGTCATGGTGATTTACCTAAAATAATGGGTAAAAAAACAAACTAAATACTTATGTTTGAAACGGTGACACATTGTATTTTTGATATCCAACATTTTATATTGTGCACACGAACATCACTATTTTATCACAAAACTCCTCTTGTCAGTTAACCCTTTCAACACTGTAGACCATAATGGACTTATCCAGACCATAAAATCACAATGAGTACACAACGTCTGGCAAGGATTCACAACAATCCTTCTACTGACAAATTTACTGGTTCTATGTATATTTTTTATCTTATGTACACATATGAAGTATATACTTACAATTTACCCTTTGTATCATTCACTTTAAGTGTCAACTCATTAATCTGTAAACAGATAGGCAACAATAAACATTTCAGAAAACAGGTAACAGAAGCTTCAGCAATATTTGAAGGTGTTATATTAAATCTGACTGGCTGAAAGACAAAGTTAACAATGCTTTTCCTGTGGTAGTTAACCTAGAGTGTAATGCAGGTCCTATTGCGGAACGTTTTGAGCAATTTGACAAAGATATCAACGAATATTTGTCAAAGTTTGATGCTGTTTGGCAAATTTATTATAATTGTTGTCCTTTAAATGGTTCTAAACTATCGAAAGTCCACAATTTCAAAAATATGTACAAAGTCCTTACCTCGAAATCTTGTTTGCGAATCTTTGCCTCCCAGTCATAAACATCTTCTTCGAGTGATGCAAGCTTCTTGTGAAAATCTTTACAAAGAGCTTGGAGTGCAGCTACAAAAAAGAACAAGAAGACATAATATACATGCCAACATTGTACAATACATTGTAGATTAAATGTCTTGTCAATATTATACATGCATAAATATATAACAAATTATTTCGAATTTATCAAAATCCACATAACAATTCTAATGACAAAACAAACACATGACTGGTCAGAACTCATTTGTATCTCATTAAAAAAAATAATCATGAATTGAAAGTTCTTGAAATTATATTCATGCATCCACATGCTAAATGAATGTATCCTAAAATGAAATTAAAATAAATAAGAAATGATGAAAAACATAAGGAGAAAAAAGAACAGGGTTGCATGCTAGAGGAAGTTAAGAGCTTGCATAAACTCATTCACCCCTGAAGACACATTTGAACTCTTCCAATTCAAAAGTTGGAATAGTTCATTATGAAATTTCAGGGGTGAATGAGTTAAAAGTGATTGCCAAGTAAATTACATTCAAAATTGTATTTACGGTTAGATAAAGTTTTCTTAAAATGTTTTGGCAGAATAATGGCACTTTTGACTTTAAAACAGCATAAAGTGAAGAGTAACAATGTAAAGACTGTTAGAGCAAACACACAATATGAATACTTTGTATATAATGATTTTCAAACTCGTTATTTGTTGTTATATTTGTATCAAGTAATTTATTTTTTGACAATTCAGTGGCATATGCCTACTATCACGTTCACGTATTACAGGTTCCATGATGTTACAATGCTACAAAGTTTGTATTTATGGATAGTGTTTTCAGGGATAATCCTGGAGGGGGCCATGGAACATTCACGCCTCAAAACTGACATTGACCCCTCCATGTTCAAATTTTCTTTTAATTCTACATAGAATGGCCTCTCTTAATTTTAATATTGATTAAAAATTACTGAAATTGCCCAGTCAGCTCTCAAGTTCCAGGATTTTCCCTGATGTTTTGGTAAAATTTAGGGGGGTGGTGAATACTTCTTTGGGGAGATGAGTATTTTATACATAAAATCCCATCGGCATCAAGATAGGTGTTTTATGGAATGAACATTTCACCCTGGTTGTATGACTGGTGACACCATCTCAATGAGAATCTACGGCTATTTATAGGGAGTGCTGTTTATGAGAAGGGAAGAATAACTGCTGACATGCACACAGATGGTGGGTACAACTTTTATTTAGAAATCTTTATTTGTTGTATGATTTATAAAGTCATTGTTGGATACAAACGGTAATGTGTACGGATTGTTAATTGAAAGTCGTTCTCTTTTAAGGAGATTTTAAGAATGATATTATACAGTGTTTCAGAGATGGTGTAACTTCTGCTCATAAACAGAATAGATACATGAATACTTACCATTAGATATAGATATGGAAGCATGCATAATATATGTTTTATTTTATATGGACTGGTGTAAAAATAAAGCATGCATAATATATGGGGGTACTCCTTTATACGAACTGGTGTAAAAATCAAATAAAAATCAGTGGAGTCATTCAAAACTAAAGAAATCACTGAGCAAACAAAACTTTGAAAGGACGAAAAACCAAAAAAATCCTCTGTTGCTGTGGCAACCAAGGTCATGCTGCCCTACCTACATCCTTTCCATCAGTGCTAAATTTGGGTACGAGGTCATTGATATATTTCTCCTTAGCCTCTGCCTTGGCTTTGGCCTCGTTTTTCAAGTCCTCTGCTGCCTTTTGCATGATGAGTTTCTAAAAACAAATCCTTTACAATGATTTCTTGACATTCCCAGAAAAAAAGATAAACATACAAGACAACACAAAATAAAAGTTCTGTGAAAATGTGGTTTGTGGATTATTTCCTTCAAAACAAAAATGTTTCCTTGGTAACTGCCATTGTATACATACATCAGTAACACCATGCTTCAGATTTCCTTAAATCACATGCTTCATTCCTACTTCAATCAAGGTATTTTAGGAGGTTGTAAACAACCTTTCTCATGCTTTGTAAGAAAAAGTGGCAATATATTGCAGACGGTATATCATTGAGTCAGTCTCTACAGATATACATGAACATACTGATCAAAGTGAACAACTGACACGAACACAGTGGATTCTTTTTGTAGAATTCCCATAAGAAGTATCTGAAAAAGCTATTACAATTCTTTGAATAATCCATTGACTCCAACAATTTCAGACCAACCCAAAAATACAACTAAAGGTTCAGTTATCTACAGGAGTTAGCTGAAAAATCTTGTCAATTTTTGACATAAGATACCTTTTTAATGGTACTTTTCATAAGAGTAATGGTTGCCTATAAGATAAACAGCCATCTGACTAGTATAATTTATACTGGGGCATCAGTAATGAGTGGGGTCATGCAACATGGTTTTGTTTTGTTTGTTTCACGTCCTATTAACAGCTAAGGTCATTTAAGGATGTGTCATGCAACATACGAAATACACCAGCTACAGGGTACAGTTGTTTTTATGTCAATAGAGTCATTATTGTGCATGTGTTCTCAGAGAAATTATTTGATACTCATTAAATCAACGGTAACAAGCAATAGACCAGAGACATGTAATCTTCCATGAGTTTCCATTTCATATGAGATTTATTAAAGAGACAATTTTGTGTGGTAAGTTTTTTTTATAACGTCACAAAATTCTTCATGACAATATAGTTTGACCATGTAATGTATAAATTCAAGAATGCGTTATGTGTGAACTCGACTCGTAACTGGCCCCGGTTTGGTCGACAGAGTAGTGCTGTTAACTTCTCACTGAAAGGCCCGAATATTGTGCTATTTCAGTCGTAGCTATTTTTATCACATGCTTTCCCAAAAGATGAAACTGACCACACTGGGTTTTGGCGTCAGGTCATGTCAATATCATCTACGAAAACTTTCATTAAGAGATACATATTTTCAGTATCGACTCGATTTTCAGGTTGTCATTTGACTTAAATAGCCCCTTTAAAACAAATCGAAAGAAATTTTTGGAAATTAATCTGGTAGTCATTTTACAATATGGTAATCAAGTGATAACTTCTGTATTCTCATAAACATCCTTCTGTGTTGCTTAGGTCACAGGTGGAGGCTGGGAGTAACAAATAGCCAAATATCTCCTGGCATAGCCAAGATACTGCAAACTATAGTAACAATAAGGATGAAGGAACTCAGGTCAGCATTATATTTTATGTTGGCTGGAAATAAAGGAACTTTTTTCTTAACATATGAAAAGCTTACCGTGAAGCTTCTGTAGCTGGTGACCAAAATAAACTGATTTTGACTGGTCAAAAGCACTGACATTGACCCAGGATGAAATACTGCACCTTTTTAATTAAAACTTGCAGATATTGTCATGAGATTTTACGTGTCATCATAGGGAAAAGAAAAGTTAGTTTAAATAGTACTCTGAAGAAAAGCATGGTTAGTAAAGGATTGTTATTTAGACTTTGAACAAGCTCAACCTTGAACCTGTACCCATGGTTCTGGCCTAGGACGCTGCAATGATTAGTACACTCAGTGCGGTATGGTTATATATTTGGGTATACTCCCAGAGTAAAGGCACATATAATATATCATCTCAATCTTACTTTTATGGATAGTTTGAACAATGATCCTGTATTATACCTCTGGGACATTTCATCTCTAAAATTGTATATTTTTTCTCTTTTTTTCTTATCTTTCACACATACACAAACTTCATGAACTGCAAAACCTTGTCAGAAGTATTGTTTTAAGATTATTTTTAACCTTAACAAGTAGATTTGACATGTCGTCCCTAACAGATACAGAATATATGCCTTTGGATGTGAGAGGTGTATAGGTTTGCTAATATATATGAGTGGGGGGTTTTCATGTTATTTCAAATCACAAAACAAACCTTTACTCATGCAGGACAGATCAGGCAGAGGTTGTATCCGCTGGCGTAACACTTTCCTCTTCTCTGCTTCATAGTCTACACTTTCATTGTCTTCTTCATCTGATGTGTTGTACTATTTCACACACATGCAACAAAAGTAATGACTCATGCAATTATTGGCTGCAATCATGGAGTAGGTTATTTTTAATCTATACCACAGAATTTTGGAAAAAAACATGCATGAATGCAAGCAAATTGTTTGCAAACAATGTTAACTTAGGATTGAATTCATTAAAAATGATTTTCTTAAAAGTGGAAAAAAATAATCTTTTAATCAAAATTCAACACTGTTCCCAGAGGTAAGAAAAGTCACACACACAGGAACTCCTGTTCATCAGCTAGTAGCACCAGTTGTCCTGACTTTCTGAGCAGCTAAATATGTTCACTAAGCAATAACATAGCCTTACTTTTAATCAAACACTTACATTCACAAACTTTTGATAAACATTTGCGGTGTCATTTTTTCATTAACTACATTCTATTTTGTCGATTGTAATCCTTGATTTGATCAATCATTACCTGCCCAAAATGGTCAAGATAAAACTATTCAAATACCCGGGTTCTTCCTCCCCATATTCCAAGATAATGTTTGGTATACCCAGGGACCTATATATATACTGTCCCTGGTATACCACAGTTTTTTGGGCTTGCGCACGCATGCACCAGCAGACCTATCGCTATCACAAGGATTCTGTTAACAAGAGTATCAATCAACTCTGCAGTAATTAGTAAGAATTGCGATCTGATCATTAACTTATTCACCCCTGAAGTTTACTAATACACTATTCCAACCTTTCAATAGGAAGAGTTAAAATGTGTCTTCAGGGGTGAATTAGTTACCCTCATGTCAAAGTACCATATTAACTAGTATTTTATATAACATTTCTTCTCTGTACTGCATGTGTTTCTTCTAAATAAAATTACTCCTATTATCATGAGTTTTACTTCACTTAGTATAACTTTACGCTTCAGTGGTTTACAAAGGTTGTAAGATGGCACCAATAAGGGGAGATAACTCTATAGTCGAAAGTCTACCAGACTAAGGGAAATAAGTCTTCATTGTGATAACTTAAATTATTATTAGAAATATTTTTTAATTCATTTTCCTCATTTATATCATCTTCTTTTATTAACAGTGTATTTCATTCAAACCCATCACATGACTGAAGATTATCATTTCTCCCCACAGCACAAGCTTGAAATTGACTAAACATCCCAACTCCTAGCAGGAAACAAATCGTAATATCTCCCTACTACCTAGTTCTGGTGTTAAAGTATGTTAATTACCCTCAGCATCATTAATAATTTACCTATCATATTATGAAATGTATAAGGTTTACTAATTAAGTATTAAGCTTGATTCTATCTCTAGTATCATATAAGGTCTAATGTACAAGCAGCTCCAGAGTTTTTCTTAAACTTGACCATTTTGTTCTAGTGTTTTAGTCAAATTCTTCAGCTTACTAGATGATTGTAGTTCGTAAATTTAGATTAAATCTTTAAAATCATACATGTATGTTTGATATTTAAAATTTCATAGTTTGATTTTTGTAAACATGTGTAAATCTTTCCATTAAAATGTACAATTAAATTTCATATGAACTCCATTTACCCTTAAACTATTAATCTATTCACTAAAAAGCACAACGAAATACTGTACTAAAATACTTTGTTTTTCATTGCTTAGATGCCGAAAGAAAGAAAACTGTAACCTATCACCGGCTTGTTAATTAAGCTACTGATTATTTTCATACTTCTTGAAGTCTTTTACAAGCCTTCCCCTAAAAAACAAGACAAGTATGAATATACGAACTACTACATGCATTTAATAAATGAAGCTTCGAGCCACCCCCGACCGCCATTCCATGTTTGAAGCCTGAACTGCCTACTTCCCCGACATGGTCTGTAGGAAGCTACTTCCCCGACATGGTCTGTAGGAAGCTACTTCCCTGACATGGTCTGTAGGAAGCTACTTCCCCGACATGGTTTGTAGGAAGCTACTTCCCCGACAAGGTCTGTAGAAAGCTACTTCCCCGACATGGTCTGTAAGGAAGCTACTTCCCCGACATGGTCTGTAGGAAGCTACTTCCCCGACATGGTCTGTAGGAAGCTACTATCAACCCTTCACTAAAAAATGTACAAACCACACAGTGTAAAAAACAACCAACCACCATCAAATGTAGAAAGCTAAAATGCACTCTGCATATATAAGTTATAAACTTCCATCCATGTTTAAAACTACAAATCGCTAAAATCCATCCTTCATATACAAGATACAGACCCTCCTCTCTGTATAAAGCTACAAGACAAACTTAAGTCATTGACCCCTGAAGTTTCCTAATGAACTATTCCAACCTTTGAATTGGAAGGGTTCAAATATGTCTTCAGGGATGAATGAGTAAATGTATCCTCCAAATCTGAAGTTATAATTCACCCTTTATAATTGAAGCTATTATTCATAATTTATATATGAAGCGATAATCCGCCCTCAATATATGAATCTACAATCCATCCCTTACATATGAAGCTCCAAACCACCCTCCATGTATGATGCTAAAAACAACCCTCCCATCCACCATAACTGATACAAGAATTATCTGCACAGCCCTATGACATCATGTTAGAACATTCTCACACACTGCTTTCTGAAAATCAACATAGTGAACAAATTGTTCAACATAAGGTCAACAATGTAACATACAAAGGCAGATTACCAAGAAATCAAATTTTCTTAAACAGCTTTTTAAAAACTTTTTAGTAGTGTCGATCTGCTAAATTGTTCATCTGGATAAATACCAGGATGGTTTTTGAAACTTAGCAGATCAAACTATCTTTAACCAGGATAATGAGATTTTTACTTCATTCAACAGTGCAAGAGGATAAAACGTAAAAATCATTTTATTTTTTCTTGTAAAAGGGAAAATTGTTTTGAACCAAAATTATACTGTACAAGAAATACATGATATGACTTTTTCGATATAAAACAAAACAATTATAAGTTATGACAATATTCCACAATCAATTACCATTATTGCATGACAATTATAGAACAATATAATATCTATAATGTTAACCATACTTCTTACCTTAACTGAGAAATAGTTGATTGCAGCATGTAGATAAATAATAAATGTTTTATGATTTAAATCAACTGAAATACACAGACAATTATAGTATGACATCGCTATTAGTAGAATATACTCTACTATCATATTAGCTACAACATACATGATCTATTAGGATATATATGCTACTAGTTTTAGTTCTAGTAAACACCTAATCAAATGACATACAGAAGCAAGAAAAAAGATCTACAGCGACCTACTTTCAACATCTTCTTCTTCTCTGGGGAAAGACCACCCAGACCCTTCTTTTTTTTCTTCTTTTGTTCCTCCGCCATTCTTCTGGCTTCCTAGTAGCAAACAAAATTTGTTGCCTAGAAACCATTTCGTTATCATAGAAACAATAAGAAGACAAAAACTGTTGTGTTTTTTGTCTTTAAATACACCACATCACATTATCCTGTATAATGTCATTAATTTACAATCAGTAATTCAGGAATAACTGGACTGGTTGGAAAGTGTTAGGATAAAACATTGACTTCTGTTACCTGAGCTCTTTAAAACACTAATGACAACACTAATTGTCTTCCGTTTGAAACCCTATCTTCTCGTTAAGGTGTGGAAGGCAAAGCTTTACCTAGTACTTTGGTCAAAGTTACAGTTACGGACAACTTTGAAACAACCATTCTTTACATTAAAAGGAATAGCAAGCTTGGGAAAGAAAAAAGAAACAAAAAATGTTAACCCTCAAGTGACCTTTGACCTTTGAATGTCTAAGTAAAACCTTTGACCTGAATGCAAAGCAATCTATCAAGTGATATGTGGAAATTGAATATTCGAAGGATAAACCACCAATACCACGAACACAAACTAGGAAGACAAATAAGAACTGAAAACCAACAAACTAGAACCAACAATTTTGCTATCTTCAGTGCCACTGGCTGCTGAGTTGTTAGGTGAGTTCTGTCGATAACACTTGAAGGTTAGAACATTTACTTATAGTACTGACAACTAGTATATTAATTCTTAATTAAACACCTACAAAGCAACAGAAAGCTAGAATATAAAGACTATATACCAACCTTTTATGAAGAAATAAGCTCCTTGTTTGCTTGTCCCACCTGCCTTCTATACATACACTATATATATACCTTACACTTTCCAAACACTCAAATTATAAGACAGTTGTACCTCTATTGGTGCTTTTGTAAGTAAATATCAGAAACATTGATGTGAAAATAGATTTATGTACAGGATAATGCTGCGGTGCTACAAAAAACAAATCTCTGAAAAATTAGAAAAATATTTTGGAATGATTATTTCACATTTTTGTGTCAGCTGCGAGGATTTGAAAAGAATGGTGATAGTTTTTTTCTTCAAAAGTGGCAATGCTTCATTTCTACTGGTTGTTGGGTTACCCAGTCTAGCCAATCAGAATCATGCACATCCATGTGCTCACACATTATTGGATATTTACAATGTTCTGCATTCATGCAATGCACTATACTATAGTTTTTCAGATAGTTTGCTTCAGTTGTGACTGGTTTCAAATATTATATGAAAGAAGATTTCTGTAAATCCATATTTTTCTTGATTACACATCTAAATAAATCAGTATCACAGTAATATATCAAAAACGTAAATCAAAATTGTACATTATCGAAAAAAATAAAATCTTATACAAAATTCTTTCCTGATTTTTTACTTTTAAATAAATGTCAAATGAAATTTAGTCCTTTTCATTACCAAAAATATAGACGTAAAAAAATATTTTACAGGCATAACACAAAGACCTGTATCCTGAATTTCATCTTTTACATTGAAAAAGTCATTTGAACCTGAAAATGAATTTGAATATTTCATATTTTAAAGTGTGTTTTTTTTTTAAAGTAAATATTATTTGATATTAAATGACATGCAACCACACAACTACATGTATCTGAGCTCAGACTGGCGACAACCCAGTTGGGATATACTACAAAGGTCTAAGGAAGGTGAAGAAGCAAGTACAAGCACAAAATAGATTTTTCAAAAAAAAAAATCAGTTCTAAAATCTAAAGCTATAATCTCCTAATTTCTACGATTTTGATGCTACAATAATATGACAAAGATAGTCTAATTTGGAAAGCATTGCCACTTTTGAGAGACAGAGAGAGAGAGAGCTATCATAGTTATAACCCCTTGCATAACCTTGTTTCACAAAGGTACAGAAAGCACTCTCTTTGGGAGGTTGGGTCTGGTTGGATTTCTCGATTTTACACAAGAAGTTTCAGCATGCAAACAAGATACAAACATGGAGTGATGGTTCTCATTATGGTCACGTCAGAGATATGATATTGTGGTGGACAATAGCACACAAACAAGTATATACACAAATAGAAAAGATCATGATGGATGTTAGCTTGATATAGAATGAGAACAGACTGTAGGTAGGAACCGAGAGTGTACTTTGTTGTACGTCTGTAAAGACACCAGGAGATTAACAACATTGAACGCATTCACCTGGGATTTTAATGGTCTGCAAGTTATTTATCAATAATTTCACACATAACATAATTGTGTAATTTGTAACAATTGAATGAGATTGTACCTTTTAACAATATGCTTACACATAATGTAAAATAGTCATTCCAAAAACTAAAATGATACAGGCAAAAAAATAATACGTCAGAGTTGTAAAATTAAAAAGAAATAATAAGGTAAAATGGGGGAAAAAATTCTTGGATTTGGGCCCGAATTGATACACCTTGCATACACATACAAGACAAAGTTGTGCAATATATTTTATACATGGTGCATCTGGTCATCTGTTCTGTTGCTATGGTAACAAGGAGCCTGTCGGTCGGTGAGATGAAAGTTACAATGACGATGAAGATGATTAACTACAGCCATAATACCAGACATACGTGTACGAACATGACTCTAATGCTACAAGATGGCAATCAATCTCTACGGCGTTGCCATGGAAACCGATACAAACCGTCTCAATGAGCTTTTGACGCTCTTCTTCCTCGCGTTGTCTCTCATCTTCCTCGATTTTCTCCAATTTAAGCCTTTCTGCATCAAGCTTTTCTTGCTCGATTCTTGCTTCTTCATCGATCATAGCTTGGGCCTTAGACACAGAAATCACTGATGAATGGCCAGATTTCTATCACCTTACCCTTGTGTACTGTTGACCTTTGTATATGCTTTGTAACAATGACCTCTATACACCCTTGACTTAGGGATAACCTCTATCCTACTTGGTATACCAATGACCTTCATATACCTCTTTGGCCATTGAAGGAATAAGGCGCTAATTTATAATAATTTGGTTAAAATGTTCACCCTTATAAAGTTATCTAGGTTGGAAATCTTTGATTTGATAAAGCTTTCCAGATAATAATGTACGATGAAATCAAAGGTTCTCCTCCTCAGACTGGTATGTACCATTAAATTCACCACTTTGGGTATACCAAAAATCTATTTTCAAAACATAACAAAAAGGTAGGAAAATGGTCATGTTTCCTCTGCAGAAATGGTCTTTCATTAAAAATTAAAAACTCGGGTAATGAAAACAAATTGTCAGGGTTCATTGATGGGAAATAACTTAACTTTGCATGATAGAAAATTACTTCAAAACAAAACAGTAAGATATTCTGAAAGTAGAACATAGCTTCATTTAAACACTTTCAATAGTGTGAAAAATAAATTTTAAACCACAGCATTTCTTTTTTTTCCAAATTTAAATGTGTTACATTCTGTAGTAAAAACCTGTACTAAAATACATTATCTCAGGAAATCTGTTCAAAAATAACCCAATGACAAATTGAATTTTATCATGTAACCAAAATCACACGCTCATTAATTTTTGCCAGATTCAAAATACATCATAAGGATATTTGTTTCAATGTTGTAGCGCAAGCTTTGCTTTGCTCGAGGAACGCACGTGCACGCTGCTGCGAACGATAAGCTTCCAAATGTCAGTATGACATGACTTCGCTCAACAATACACAACACACAATATCCAAGGCAAGTGATTATACTCCAGCACAGATGTTACCAATAGTATGCTGTAGACTAGATAAATGGAGTCGGGAATGATATTTAGAATGTTGAAGATTTTAAATCCGAGCCTGAGGAGAGAGAACCAATGATAAGAGATGATGACGGGTGCTGTGGGTGACTTATACTACGTATCTACGGACAGACATGATAACTAACCTCTTCTCTCTCCTGTTCTTCCCGTTCAAGTCTCAACCGCTCTTCCTCTTCCTGTCCAAGAAAAAGAAAACAAAAATAATAACAGAACAAAAATATCAAATACTTTGACAAATGATAAACAGTTCTCATTGTTTTGCAAAAAAGCATATTTGAAAAAAAAAATATGCATACCACGTATTCTATAAAATACAGAAAGCATTAAGAGAGATTAACACTGAAAGGGAAAATTTGATAGTACAATAAGGTAAAACATTAAAAACATCAATTTTTATTATATTTTTCATGTTTTAGGATTTCGAATTTCCGAGGGAAAAATGCAACAATTAAGATGATGATAAGGTCCTTGGACAATCTGAACTGCAATGAGCTGGTCAAAGCCTCTGGGAAGTGATTTAGTTTAGATTAGGTCATTTTAGCAGAGACATTTTCACTAGAATTGTCCTTAACCTCCATCTTTGTATTTTTGTTGACCTAACTTACCAGACGACCTGTATAACTCCTGTCCAAGTTTAAACTGTTTGACCTTCGAACAGTAGGTAGTCTATTTTCCTGCAACGGGTAAAGCATGCTCATGCTCAACAACAGCAATGCAACACAAAAAAGTAAATCTTTTCATGCCAAAAAAATGAGAATATTAAATTTAAGAAATTAAGAACAATAAATCAACATTTTAAACTTCAAGTTATGAAATTGTATCATCAACAGGCAATTTGTTAATAAAACAACATTGACATGTCAAATATAACAGAGCATGCCACTTATCATTAAATGTCCTGGTCTGTAGCACAAAACTGTTCCTGTCCACAGAAATAGTATTTAAGGTCATATGTTATATTGAAGTATGATAAAAGTGCAGATGTCAAATTTTACCAATAAAACTTTTTTTTTTTTTTTTTTTTTTTTTTAAAAAAANAAAACATTTCAACTCAATGGATTTTTCAAACAATTTAAATATTTAACATCAAACAAGGAGAGTTCATGAATAAATCATGATACAGTTATAAAAACAAAATTTTCAAGTCTACAGTAGTGTATATATATCATTTTACTACATGTTTTGTATACAATATCATTATTGTTAACTTTCTGTTTTAATTTCTTTTGTGTTTAATTTTTATTTCACATATATCATAAGGCATTTTATAATTCTTACTTTATTGTGTTCTGGTGATAGGGAAGACTGAGGTCGTTGTCTTGAAAAGTTTGAATTAGGATAATCGGTTTGATCATGCTGCCACCTATCTGTCAATTTTGAAACAGAATTCCTTGCCCGCCATCTTGTCACAACGCTATCCGTGGTGTCAGACGAAGTGTCTGACGACAAAGACCACTTTCGTCGCAACGATGACCCGTCTCTTGGAGACAAAGGAGAAGTTACCTCCCCTTTAGGGCTATCAACACTGTTAAATCTAGCAGTTAGCAGAGATATCTTTTCACTTTTTCTTCTCACTTGTTCACTGGCACTAATCTCTGTATTTAATGAAATTGTTGAAGTGGAACGGAAAGTTCTCTTAGTCAAGTCATTGTCTGTTTGATCATGGTGCCAGCGACCTAGCACGGCACGATTATCTCTCCAGGAGTCTGTCTTTTCCTGTTGAAAGCATATGTATATTATGAGGTCTGTATTGACTGAAGTGTATTGATAGTGTTGATATATTGTTATGCCAACTAATAGGTTGTATAGGAAACACATTAATCTGAATGAAATTTTTGTCTTAACAAGTGATAGTTTATAAGCAGATCTAAAAGACAAATATGACAAATAAGGATTCAATCTCTTCATTTTTGTAAATACCAGAATTTTGATTTGATCAACTTCATTTCTTTCATGGATGGTACTTTTTGTGTGTGTGTAAGTGCTTGGTGCTAAATATTCTGGCTTACATTGATGTGTTGTTCACTGGAACTGAATTTTCCAAGTCTTGGTGAGTTGCCATTTACCATAGTTTTCTCGCCTTGGAACTGTGGGAATGAAACACATGCAGCACTGGACAAGTGGACTCATTTGTACACATTCTCTTTCACTATGTTAGCATACAAACATCTTAATATGGAGTACTTGTTTTCTTTTCTTTACTGTCTTTGTAATGTAATATTAATATTTTCTTTATTGTCTTTGTTATTTAATATTTACATTTTCTTTACTGTCTTTGTGATGTACGTAATATCAATATTTTTTTACTGACTTTGTAATGTAATATTAATATTTTCTGTAATATTAATATTTTCTTTATTGTCTTAAAACAAAGTTAGCTCATGGTAAAACCTTATTATTGACTTCCTTTCATGAGCACCAAAACACCCCATTATCAAAGGAGAGAAAGAGTCTTCATATTATTTGTTGTTCTTACTTTTTTCTGTATATCCTTCAATCTGTCTGGTCCCTGTGCTATTATTTTTATTTCAATTTCTCTGTGTTTCTTTGGCTCTACCTGTAAGTGATTAAATGACCATTCCATTTGTATTCTAACACACAAATGCTCTAAACTATAGTTGTATGGTTGTCCTATGGTGACCTACGTTTCCATCAAAAAGCTCTGATACACTTCTCCATATATGATTGTACATCAACCCATGACAGAATCTACATAACAGCAAAAACGTTTGCTTCATTATTTTGAAATTTACGCTGATTAATAAAATCTAGGACCTTTGACTTAGTTGTCAAATCATATGGAAATACAATTTTAGGTACAGCCTCACTGTTCCTTTCTGCAAGTCAGTCCCATTAATTCTGATGTCTTTGAGAACTGTCAGGGTCTGAACTCTCACTGTGATGGGATTAGTTCTATTTTTTATTTCTGTCTGCATACATTTTAGGGGTACAGATTATGAGGAACAATATCTATAATAAATTTCTGACAAATTATGTTAATTGTAGTATTTTTGAAAGACCTCATTAAACTTTCATTAAACCCTAATATGCAAAAAATATGTTTATTACTAAAATTCACCAAAAAAGAGCTAAGTTAAGAATTCATTCCATACCCTTGGCGTGTTATGCAGGTGCATGCTAGTTTCAAACTTGACCAACTGTTCCTGTACGAGGTTCAGTGGATTGTCCTCCATGCCATCTACCGACTGTAATTTACCAAGTACATCAGACCATCATTATTTTCAATTAAATTCCGTGACGGTTCTATCTGCACTATTTTACCATTCTGAGTTGTAGTCAAACCGCGAACATTTGACCTTTTTTGACCTTACTAAACAGTAATCTCTAGACGCGCTAATATCTGAATGTAATCCATTGTAACTCATACCTAAAAATATGTTCATTTTATTTTCTACATTCTTTAGAACCACAAAATAAATCATCAAAATATAAAGGGTTTATGAGAAACTTAATTTTGAATATACTAGGACAAACTATCCTGGTGCAACATTTGGACAGAAATTATTCCACTAATTAGTATTGAAAGTTCAAAATGTTGAAAATTGTGTAATGGTATGAAGTGTAGGTCAAATTAAAGTAACTATAGAAAAAAAGATATACAATTATGGTAAACAGTACATTGTATAAGAATTTTTAATATAGATTCTTTTTAAACATTTAAATATTCATTTGACTGCAATAAATACAATATATTTCCTACTTAAGTACAGTGATGTTATCAAACTTACTGGACTCTGGATTGAATTTTGACGTTTAACCGGCACTGGTGTATGGCCATTCATTTTAGGTGTTGCGTCCTCTTTGGTTTCAAAGAAAGATTTGAGTTTGCCTGCCTTTCCTTCCTCTGATATTCGTCGCACTTCTATGCTTGTGCTAAAAGAGTTCTTAGACCATTTTTCACTGCCCTCTACCTTAGCATTTTCATTCCTAGTATCACCATTTGTATCAGATTTGAGACGTGTTTCCAGTTTTTTCCGTTCTTGTAGTGCCTTCTGGTAACGTTGTGGTTCCTGCACTTCGATTCTTTCTTTATTCTGATGGTGTCAACATGCATTTCAAGGAAAACACACACATGCATTCAACCAATATGGACAGTCAGATGCCCTCTGTTCTGAATTTTATTGTATGGGTTAAACACACAAAACTTTAACAGAAATGTTTAAAAATCTAAATAGTAAATCCATTTGAGTGTCTATTTTTTCATCTTTTTTTTAAATTTATTTTCAAATATTGATTCATTTGAATTTCATAAGAAACATTTAGAAATAAGAAAAATTATCTTCTAATTGTGAAAGTTCGAATGTAATTTGAGCCAAATTCATTGTTTTATTTCAACCATTTTTTTTTCCTGTGATGTATAATTAAAAGATAATCTGAAAAAGTTATTACCGTAATTAATTATTTCATTTTTTTTTCATTATGTCATGAAAAGTAAGTCACACTATATATGAGGGGTCTCAGTACTTACAGGTGCTGTATGTTTTATAAATACTAACAAAACAAGATTGGAAAAGTTCACTTTTTTCTCAGCTTTATACATGGTTAAAAACCTTTCCATATGATTATTTGAAACAATCTTTCACTGGGGAATTCTGTCACATGCATATCACCTTAATATTTCTCTGTACATGCGTGTTACAACTAGTGTCGTGCTTTCAAAACATTTCTTAGTGTCGTTCTGTACTACAGTGACCTTGACCCTAATAAGCCCTACATACCTGTTGTCTCCTTTGCTCTTCTTCCCGCCTCTGTCTTTCTTCTTCCTGGCGCTGGCGACGTAGTTCTTCCTGCTGTCTGTTGTATTCCTCCTCAGCGGCTCTGGCGGCAGCCTCTTCTTCTTCCTGCTGTTGACGACGACGATTGTCTGCCTCAGCGTCGTATGCGGGCTCAGCTGGAGCACTGTAGCTGTCCTGTGAAAAGAAGGAATCTAACATATTGAATCTTTGACCTTGTTTTGCATTTCAATTCAGACCTGTCTAAAAACAAAGCATTAGAATTTCAATTCTCACTAAAGTGTATTCAGATTAATCTGTATTTGAGAGCCGTCAAGTTATAAAGCATATTTCTCGTTCTTTGATCGTTTGATACAGAAAATTTACCACCGGCACTGATACATCAATTTTCTTAATGACTGAAAAAATGAAATAAAAATACTTCAAAATTTCTGATTATATGGCAATGATCTGAAAATAAACAAGACAAAAACAAAACAGGTATAGTAAAACCTAACTACCATATGGTAAGCATATCTTATCTTGTATCATACCAGCAAATTTATACAGGTAGTTTAAAATAGTTTTTTTTTTTAGAGTTTTGTTGTTAAAATCTCGTTAAACATTGAACATTTCCAATGACATCTACGATACTATTACAGAGAAGTTGGTAATCCTGTACCAGTCGGGAACTGAAAGGTTACAATATAGAGAAGTTCTCAGTGCCGCAATCTTACAACATGCATCTAAATAAACTACTTTATTTCTAAGATATACATAACAGTTAAGTTGATCCATCTACTTAGAATCACGAAAGAATTTTTTTGTGAGTTTCATAGTGAAACATCATACAATTTTTTCGATTACATTGAAACCCATCTAATCTGACATTTGGGACACCCGTTAATTGGTCTGATTCGAAAAGATTGTTGGAAGACATTGATTTCATTTGGTATTTCAGAAAATTCTGGAAATGTATAAGACATGATGTGGAAATATTTAGTGATCAGATTAGAATTGGTAACACCTATTCTACCGCTAATTCCTATGTTAAAGTACACTATTGCTAACATACAGTTGTTGCACCCATGTTGTTTGATCAAATTGCTTTCAGAAATAGAAAATACACAAAAGTATTAACTGAAGATAACTGATGACCTTGAGTTAAATAATAGTGACACTTTTCCATGTTAGCATGATATGAAATTTTGACTAGGTATTTCAAATTTTCAATGACTTTCAAATTAAACTGTCATAGAAGGTTTGATTCAAACAGGTTGTTTTGATTTATGATCTCTGTTACAGGTTATCATTAATGTGATAATTAATCTCTGATCTAATGAATGTGTTTCAAGAGTCTAATAAATATATATATATATACAGGATAATTAGGATTTGATAGTCGTCTGTTGAAGTGTAAACATAGGAATACACATATTTAGTATTGCCAAGGCAGGATTTTTTAACTCTTTTTGCAATTAAATATAATGATACAAGTATGCAATACATGTACAACAAATACATTTTAGGAACACAGAAATGAATATGATGAAGCTATGTTATAAAGTTTGGTAGAGATTAAGACAGTACGAGACAGACTTGTTGTAGTACCTGAAATAAATACATGTTCTAGCTAATATACTAGTGCTACAATAGAGAAAGCATTGACTCAGCAAGTGTACAATACCCATACACATCGTATACCACAAACATGGATAATTTAGCAGTATAATAGTTAAGGACTTTTCTACCAACTTTTAAAACATTTAATTTATAAAACTGCTTAACAGAAAATCTCTGCATTCCTGCATGTGAAAGATAGCATGAAGTGCCAAATCATGATGTTTTTGCAAAGATTCTCTGTTCCTGATAACAGGTGAAACTTAATTCAGAGAAAACTCACTATTGAAATCATTCTGTAGAGTTTGTATTTTGAATAACATTTTGCAGAAAACAATCTTCTGTCAGGCTGTCAACCATTTAGTAATCAGTTTCCCTAAATGATAATGTATTGGAATATTTCCGAACAACCATAGCTAATTAACATTTCTATGGTAGAACTTGATAGAAATCTGTTTGAATTACAGAGTTATCATTCTTTCCCAAAAAATATATCTTTACAGAGGTAATTAATAATGCCTTATTCTATCTTTGCGTATTGCAGAGTTATCTTCTCTTGTGAGCAGGGATTGATTGTTACGTCATTGGTTTGTGTGAGAAAATTACGTCGTTTTCTCAAAAATTGATGACGTTACTCTCACAAACAAATAACGTAACAATCAATACCTGCTCATAAGAGAAGATAACTCTGCAATATGCAAAGACGGAATATCATTGAAGCAGTAAACGTTGCTTACATGTTGATATGAGTTCTAGAACAAAGTTGTCATGATCAATCAAAGTACACCCAGGATAGAGAGAAAGAATTTTGAGTGGTATTTGGGAAATGATGGCAGAAACATTTTTAGGAGGGTTTAAGGGCTTTTTCACACTACTGACTGCTGATGAGAGAAAGGGAGAAAAGTCACCATCACCAAAGGGGAGAAAACTCACCCAAGAAGGATTCAAGAGGAAAAGACAGATAAAATTGATCATCTCAAAGTTTCTGATGACATGGCATAACTTCACGTTTCCATGGTCACACAGACTTTGACTTTGACCCTCGGCCTAAGGGTGCTCCAGACCAAATTTAGTCAAAATATTTGTGCTCAAATATTATAAAATTGTTTTTCTTAAGAAAATATCAAAAGCATTACTTGTATATGTGAATTTTAACAATTACAAATTAAATGAAATATAGAATATACAGGCAATCATTAGAAAACAAAATTTGAGGACACTAACTATAGGATAAATATGAACTACATGATACAGTTATAAATATGAAGGAGTAGGTTAGTTCAGTACAGTATATGTGTGCAATAGTCTCCAAGGTTGCGGTGCAGTTTCCAAGGACAACACTCATGACGTTACCTCATCATTTCCACCCCTATTCCTCCGTGAGCGATAGCTGGATGTTGTGTCCTGAAAACAAGTAGTCATCCATAGCCGTGAGGGTTATACACACTTAGTTCCCTTGTTTCCACACGATTGGGTTACACATTTATTCTCTTGTTACCATGAGGTTAGGGCTACACAGTAACTTCCCTTGTCACCACGAGGCTAGGGCTACACAGTAGCTTCCCTTGTTACCACGAGGCTAGGGCTACACAGTAACTTCCCTTGTTACCACAAGGCTAGGGCTACACAGTAACTTCCCTTGTTACCACGAGGCAAGGGCTACACAGTATTTTCCCCTTGTTACCACGAGGCTAGGGCTACACATTTATTCCCTTGTTACCAAGAGGCTAGGGCTACACAGGAACTTCCCTTGTTACCACAAGGTTAGAGCTACACAGTAACTTCCCTTGTTACCACGAAGTTAGGGCTACACAGTAACATTTCTTGTCAATAATTGGTGAGGGTTACAGAGTTAGTTTTACACTGACTTACTCTCCTTGTTACCAAAAGGTTAGAATTATAAACAGTTACTTCCCTTGTCAATAACTATATTATATGAGGGTTAAACAGAGTTAATTCCCTTGCCACCACACAGTGAAGATTACTGCACAATTTCCTAATATTTTAATCATATTGCAAGTATTACACAGTGAAATCTATCATTTATATGTTATACTCAACAGAAACCAAAATGGCTTTAATGCACAGTGGACCAGAAAAAAACAATTATGATGGCATGGCGGACAAGTCCTTGCTTTAGGATCGGCCAGATTCCTTGCAGATCTATCCTGCATAAATGTATGTGTTTTGCAAAACCATGGTTGAATGATAAATGGGCTATTGATTTCCTAATGATCTTCTAGCACACAGCCTACACATCAAACCAGTACCTACACTAGGTTGACTAATACATTCTAATAACGAGGGTTTGAGATGATCAAAACAATCATTGTTGAACTTTACTTTCTAATCAATGTTCAGATTAATTTTGCTTCGTTTTCACAAATGCCAAATGAGACCTTTAATTAGAGTGATGATAGAGATTGTTTATTAGTTGTAGGATAAAACCAATTTGTTAATGTATATGAGCAGCTCAATAGAGAAACTAAGTTTTGTATTATTTCAACATTAGTTTGAAAATCATAATCTGATTCAAAGCAATAGATCTCAACCCACCTCCTCGTCTTCTTCTTGCCGACGACGACTGCGGCGGGATGTGGTTTCCTCTTGTTCTTCACCACCTCTGCAATTAATTAAATAAAATTCATTTAGTACTTAAATAAAAAATACGGAATTTCTTTTCCTTTTGATATTTCTTTATACAACAATTTTGAGTCTGAATTATTGTTTTTTATAAACAGCTTTGCTAACTGTTCACATTAGTTCTGATCTAAAGTGATGATGAACAAGAAAGAGCGGATGCAAATTAATTAGTAATGAATGATGTGGTTCCCATGACAATAATGGGACTATTTCTTTTCTATTTATCTAAACACGTTTATCTAAATTTTACTAAACTTTTTCTACATTTCTAATTTCTAGACATCTGTTTGAAAACATAAAAGGAAAATTCTATTTGCTATTCAAATCATTTACAAACAACAAAAGGGAGGAAAATTGTATTAACAAACTCGGTTCACACTCATGCAAAATATGCTTACTGTCATGAATTACAAAGAGTTACCTCCCCTAGACCAAGTCAATCTTTTGTCACTTATTATTAACAGATTTGTTTCTCAGATAAAACAATAAATCAGCAATTTTGATATTCATTAATTCAATTATCACTGATTTTCAGTTCTCAAAAGAAAATAAGCATTGGAGACGGATATAAAAGACTCTTATACTCTAATACAGATCTGTAAAAGATTTAGCAATTTTAATCAGCAGTTTATTACTTAATACTTAATACAACAACAGGTTGGAATTATGAACAAGAGGCACAGAGGGCCTGTATCGCTCACCTGGATAATAAAGGAACTATGGGAAAATATACTTATTACATAAAATACCTCCAATGGTTCATTAGAAGAAGGATTTTAAAATTTCAACCTCAAATTCCCCTAATTGGTCCCACACCTCTGCACCCAAAGGGACCACACCCTCCATTTATACATTTGTTTTCCTTCTTCACCCAAGGATGCTCCAGGTCAAATGTGGATGAAAGCCCTTAAATGGTATAGAGGAAAAAGGATTTTGAAAACTTAAACCTCCAATTCCCCTATTGGGCCCCACAACTCTGCACCCATAAAGACTATACTCCCCATTTATACAAAATTTAGTCCCTTTGTCAAAGGATACTCCAGGTCAAATGTGGATAAAATCCCTCCAATAGTACAGAAGGAGAAGGATTTTGATGATTTTAACCTCAAATTTTCCTTTTGTGCCTTGCCACTCTGCATCCAGATGGGCCACAGTGCAGAGACCTAATGTTTATAAAAAATATAGTCCCCTTTGCCCAAGGATGCTCCAGGCCAAATTTGGATAAAATCCTTCCAATGGTACAGAAGGAGAAGGATTTTAATGATTTAAACCTCAAATCCCCCTTTTGAGCCCCGCCCCTCTGCACCCATAGGCACTGGTGGACCCTTACCGTGTATTTTTTTCATTTTTTCGTTTAATTTTCAAAAATCGTTTAGTTGTTCTCTTTTTGTGTGTATTTTTTGGATTATAGTTTATATTTGACGAGTCACCGTTTATTGTTTAAACCGACGTTTATTCTTCGCAGACTTGTGTTTAGTTTTGAGTATAACAGTTTGTTTTTAAAACAGAGTGTTTGTTTTATAAATGCATGTTAACTTTTCACGGAACAGAGTTTGTTTTATAACTACATGTTTACTTTTCTTGGCCCAGTGTTT